CTGCTTGTTCCCAATCTCCTGTGTTACAAACCATGAAGGAGGGATAGGCAGCTGCCTTCCCAAACTCCTCAACTCCAAAATTGCCTGATTAAGCATGTGGCTTAATTAATTGTTTAAAAAATTATTTCCAACTAAATTCTGTGGCAACTACTTTAATTTGTTTTTTGAATCTGAATGTAATGTGACTATTTTTATTTTCACTATTATTTTAATTTTACAATTATTTCAATAAAAATGAAGGTTATTGAATAATTTCAGAATTAATACAGATGCGTAATTTCCAATTTGCCTCAGAAACTGATGCATAATTTAGGTCAGATTATGATGGTGTTGGATAATTCAGAAGCCTTGGCCTTGTTAGACATGTTGATGATCTCTTTCCAAATGTAATCTGAAAATGGATCTTTTCTCTGGTGTATATGCTTCTTAAGGCCATAAACAAAGGAAGAGAAATTATGACACAGCTTTTCTGTAATGTATATTCTATATTGTCTATTTGTTCTTTGAAGCATTTTAGAATACAATTTTGTATAAAAGATGCTACACAAAATAAAGACATATTGCATTGAAGTGAATTGATATGAGCAAGGATATTGTCTAAGGCCTGGTCTACACTGGGGGCGGGGGTGATCGATCTAAGATTCGCAACTTCAGCTACGAGAATAGTGTAGCTGAAGTCGACTTATTTTAGATCGATTTAGAATCACTTACTTCGCGTCCTCGCGGCGTGGGATCGTCAGACGTCGCTCCCCTGTCGACTCCGCTTCCGCCTCTAACCGTGGAGGAGTTCCGGAGTCGATGGCAGAGCGATCGGGGATCGATTTATCGCGTCTACACTAGATGCGATAAATCGATCCCCGATAGATCGATCACTACCCGCTGATCCGACGGGTAGTGTAGACATGGCCTAAAAGCATTTCGAGTTCTATAATTGATATAATAAGATTTCTAGATTGTCACTCTGTGTGTTGCCCTGAAGCCTAAAATGTCTGCTGAGTCAGCATGAAGCAATGGAAACAGCTACAAGATGGTTGAGAGCTCTTTGTGTTTAGAATATCACCAGGTTCAGCCATCATATTACAGTCCAGTTTTTAAGTTCTCAGCAATTTTTGGCTATTTTTTTTTAAATATACTTTATGAATTACACCTGTATGACAGTATAGGCTTTCACCTAGGTTTTTTTTTTATAACCATCAAGAACTGGACAGACATTCCATGGGTTCCTACTTCACTACAGTGCAGCTGGAATATTAGTTGAGATAAATTACACCAATATAGAAACATATGTAATGCAATGTTCTCAAGTAAAAACAGAAGGAAAATGATGAAATCTTGGAACTGTATATGATTTCTTTACTCTTGCTATCTCTAACATTGAAGAGAAAAAGGACCACTGTGCTGGAAGCTGTAGGAGACTAAGCAAGCAGCATTCTCTATGTGGAAATAAACTTAGGGGTTAGGTTCCATTTGAAGGCTCCTGACTAGAGCTGGGCAAAACTTGAAATTTCCATTCCATAGAAAATTCTGACATTTCAAAAAAGTTTCCCTTCCAAGTCAGAACAAAAACTAAAAATTTCCCATGAAAATTCCAAAAACTTTTTATTCTGGAAAATTCTAAACATTTCCATTTGATTTTTCCACAACAGAACAAAGCAACTAGCTGCCCTCTACACTAGGGGCAGCCCAGGGAGTCCCCTGCCACAGATCAGAGAAGCCCTTAGAACCTTGGCTCCAGCCAGGGGGCCTGGGCTTCCTCCCTGCAATTATGTGATCACATACTATTTTTTCCACAGGCCTCATTCAGTGCACAGGTTGACTGCACAAGGGGACAACTCAGCCACCAGAGCTGTCTGACTCTGCATGGTGAACAGCACAGAAGGATTTGTGTAGTCTATGCTTTGGGTCCCATTTACTCATGTTATTTTCAAAAAGAAAGCAAACAATTGGCTAGCAGATAGGGTTCATGTACGATTTTCATGCAGTATGTCATTGACACAAAATATGAACCATCAACACATGCTAATTCAATTTCTGTGCCCGACCGAGGATTTTTAAAAAACTGTCAGCTGATACTCTGTGGCTGTGACTGTCAGCTGATGTTGGCACCTATTCCTAGTGGCAATTCCAGGATTCCTGAGCAGGTCAGCAAATTTTTCCCAAGAGGAGTTCAAAATATTCACCCAGATGATTAAGCACTGCTACTACTTCCTCTTCAGAATCAAGTCTGGTATCACACTCCATCTGAGTGAAAGCACCTAGAGCCAGCAATCTCTTACTGCAGCTTCTGGGTGTTTCCAAGGACTAATGCAAAGGAGGAAGTGAAAAGCCTACTGATGAAAACAATGGTTCCCATTGATATCAAGGGGAAGAAACGCCCTAGCAATTCCCTTTTTACATTTTTAAACAAGACTCTCATTAAATTTAAGTGTTCCCTTCTTCCAACATAAATGGAAAAGGAAACCAGCGTTGCCAAATTCAGGGGAAACCAGGGTATTCTCTTGCAGGGGGACAGATGGCTGCTGTTTTGCTTGTGGAAAAAAGGGACAGAGATGAAAAGTTTTGTATGATGATTCTGTCTTTCCAGCCAGCATGAGTTAAGTTACTCAGGTGGAGGAAGCCCCTATGGAAATCCATGTGGAAAACATTGCTACTGACTGGAATCTTTGGATGTGCCTACACTGCAGCCTGGAGCATTCTTCCCAGCACAGGTATCATAGAATCATAGAATATCAGGGTTGGAAGGGACCTCAGGAGGGCATCTAGTCCAACCCCCTGCTCAAAGCAGGACCAATCCCCAATTAAATCATCCCAGCCAGGGCTTTGTCAAGCCTGACCTTAAAAACTTCTAAGGAAGGAGGTTCCACCACCTCCTTAGGCAACGCATTCCAGTGTTTCACCACCCTCCTAGTGAAAAAGTTTTTCCTAGCGCTGCTTGTCCTAGCACATTAAAAATTGCAGCATAGCTGGGATAGCATGGGCGACAGCTTGGGCTGGCCATCTGAATACAGCCGGATCCTCTGGGTATGTTCTTGGGCAGCTGGCCCAACCCACCACCTGTGCTACCCCAGCTACACTGCTATTTTCCATAAGCTTTGTCACGCAGAGCTAGCCCGTGTCTATCTACCCGGAGTAGGGAGCCTGGTCCCAACTGCAGTAAGTAGACATATCCTTTGTTTGTTTTATTTATTCCCCTGCCATCTGTATTTCCACTTGTTTGTGTCTCTGTTTTTGATCACCATGCTTCACAAGACTTCACTAAGCGCTTTTTAACCAGTTTCTGTTGCAGAGACTCTGATGGGCAATGTTAACTACATGATTTGAGAACCTGAAATCCAGCAAACCTACAGGATCATCAACCTACTCTTCAGGGTAGTACCATGATGTTATTCATTACCTTACCATACCTTCAAAACAAAAATGAGAAGAATAGAAAACAGCTGAATTTTAAGCACACCAGTTGCCTGTGTTTTCCAGAATAAAACGTTTTGTCTTCTATTCCCAAACATCATCCTTCAGCATTTTCCTGATTAAAATGAGTTAGCTTTCAGAAAGGGATGTACAAAAGAATACTGTGCAAAACAAAAGGATAAAGCCATGAATACACTATCACACTGGAAAACGTAAGCACTCCGAAAACCAAGGAAGACATTTGTTTATGTTTCTTTAAGAAAGCACTGTGTATTTCAGAGGTAGTATATCTCCCCTAGAATGCTATACATCAGTGGTCACGGTAACTTATATTACCAAACTTGAATTGCTTTTAAATTGAGTTCAGTTTACTGGTAGAACACCTATAAATAATCCATTCCAAATATTTTTTAAAATTCTTAAAAAAAAACAAAAAAAAGTTGGCATGTGATTCTACTCCTCTGCTAGGCCTGTGGTGCTGGGTGGGGTGGGGGGCAACAAGATAACTATGATGAAGGCCACTGCTTCTTCCTTTTCTCTTTGTGAGCAAATCTGCCTACTACCTCTTCAGTTTCATCTTACTGCTGCTGTTACTGGTAAACACCTTTTTGCAAAATTTGGGGATGAGTATACCTTTAAGCTCTCCCTGAGCAGTGCATGACAGTGATGCACCTGGCTATCAATAAAACAGTAAAAGTGACCAATGCACAAAGGGGTGTGCAGGCTGGCACACTGGGGATTGAACTGAGGACCCCCAAAATTGAAAGCATGAATCTCTACAGATCAAGCTAAAAAGCCCAGCTTGCATATGGAGAGCTACAAGAGACTCATATCCTCAGTAGATCGGGCACAGAGGGGAAAGGTAACACACAGTTACATCAGCAAACTGAAAAAAGAAAAGAAAAAATATTACTTCCTCTAATCTCTTTCTCTTGCATCTTACGGGTCACTCATAACAACGGTAGGTACAATATTTTCAGAAGGAAATGTAATTTTCAAGTTGGCAGTGTCCCTTAAAATCTAGAGTGGACAGAGGAGTCCAACTTTCCATGTAAATATGAAGAATGCAAATGTGAGTTATTCCTTATGTTACTGGCATTTTTTAGAAAATGTTTACTTTTTCCTTTTCACGGACTTCTCTTCAGCTGACTTTGCCCACTTGTGGTTTTAGTCAGTTTTCACAAACACAATGAGCTAGTCATTTACACACACTGTATGGAGAAAAGGATATTAACATATATGAACATTTGAAAACTGCTGTAATATTTTTTCCTTTTGGCATCCAAAGTTAGTTGTAAATCTTAACAAGCAGTCCACTACTAAAATGATTCTCACTCAGCTGGGTTAATTACACAATATTAGATACAAGAAACAAACACTGCAACACAAAACATAGCTACATCATTATTTGCAATAAATGTTAACTCTAAATAAGTGCAACCTGTCCATAAACACTTGCTATAAACTATTTAAAAATAAAATTTGATGGGTAAACATGAAAAAAAAATTCTCCATGAGAATTTTTTTTAAAAAAATATCAGCACTCAGTTAGAGTTTGGGATTTGTGAAAGAAAGCTTTAAAAGGAGCAAACCTGATTGGCTGTGGCTGTTGCGGCGAAGGGGACACTTGTTGCAGGAGTTGCTGCTGCAGAGACAGTGGCGGACGTAGCGCTGTGCATCATGGGTACTTTCAGGAGGGGAACCATGGAAGCAATGAACAGGAGGGTGTAGCATTATGGTAATAGAAGTGGTATTTTGGCATGGTGAATATCAGAGCAGCAAGCCATCATGGGTTAAACCAGCAGATGGCATGCAATCACAATGCAAAGCAAGAAAGCGTGGCAGAGAAATAAAAAAGGGAAAATAGCTTATTACAAGTACAATTAAAGGAAGTTTGTCAACACAATCAGTGATTCCCAGAAAAAGCAAAATAACTTATGATTGCTGGCATTATATTTAAGAATTTGACAAATGATTTCTTCCACTGAATGCATCTGATGAAGTGAGCTGTAGCTCACGAAAGCTTATGCTCAAATCAATTTTTTAGTCTCTAAGGTGCCACAAGTCCTCCTGTTCTTTTTGCGGATACAGACTAACATGGCTGCTACTCTGAAACCTGTTTTAAATTGGGCATCTACCAAAACAGCTTATTACTTTAAGCAAGAATTGTTCAATCAGTTGATAGACTATTTTTAAGTAGCTAAAACACATTAAAACACCATTCCTTAAGAAGTGAAATCTTTCATTTTTAGTATTGGGAAGGAAAGAAATCATTTATTATTTCTGCACATATTAAAAATAATTTATTTTCATTTACCAGTATTATAGGTTAAAAGTATATTTGCAGCCCTGCTTTAAACATACATACAATTTTTATATTTTTGTTTCTGGATTTATGTTCTGTTACCTCCCCATAACTGTTGGATTTTATTTGAGTTAAATTACTATCTGCTTTGAGGCAAACATCAGTGTTATAATTATTTTCCTGATTTAAATACTAATTTGTTTGATCTAAAAGAGCAAAGCAGATTGTGAAAATTTATTTTTTGTTCCGTTTTAATTTAAGGACAAATTTATCAATATGTGCAAAATTCACTCATGTGTGTGGCTGAAACTCAAGTGAGTAGCCCCATTAAAATCAATGGGACTACTCACTTGAATAAGCATTACTCACCTGAGTAATGTCCTGCTAATTTTGCAACCATAAAATATGTGCATTCAAATGCTTCAAATTTTAAAGTGGATTTGATTTAATTAAGAGGGAATGCGATTCAGACCTTAGGTCTCAAAGTACTTTCAGTTACAAGTATTAAAATAAATGCTTCTGGGAAACTCTGATAAAACTTTTTAACACACAGCAAAAAGGAGAAATAGGCACACAACTATGAAACTTCAAAACACTGATGAAATTAGCTTGCTTTACCAATATTTTATGATTTTAGAAATACTATAAAATATAAAATATATTGAGAGAAATACAATTTTGAAAACTGAAAAGCAGATTGGAATCCATGATTTTATGCATTTGCAGTGTGGTTGTTATAGCAGGTGATGTCACATCTAAACTGCAATTTTAACCTACAAACAAATCTAAGATCCTACAAAGTCAATCAAAAAGCCAAATGAACCTTTAAATCTAGTAATCAAGTCATGTTTAAGATTTGCAAACAACTGAAAGTACAGTATACAATATAAAAGAGATCAATAAAGAAATTTAGAACCTACCAATACTGGTAGCGGGTGTCATGCACAAAACTGACCCTGCATGTCATGCAATGATAGGTGGAAAAAGTGAATAAAGGGAAGAAACAGGTTAGCTGTTTAGAGTTAACATTCAAACTGAGATTCAAGCATAACCAAGGATAAGCAGAAGTTAGCTTAACACAATCTTAAGGTCATTCATAGTTTTTGTGTTACAAGAGTGACTTTAAATAATGTTATCCTAAAATACTATTACAGTATACCAAGACATATTTTGTACATCTGTGTGTGTATTTAAGATGGACCAGATTTCATAAACATCTTTCATATATTTTTTGCAGAAATAATGATTTTTAAAAACAATTTTTGATTGAATATTGGATTATCTAATGGCTGCTTAAATCCATTCAACAATTCAGACAGCATTATGTTAGCTACACAGATTAATGTTTATTAATTTTGCTGATACACAGCAGAGGAAAACATTTAATTCAATAGAAATTCTTATTATTCAGTGGAGATTTTGTTATCTGTGTTTAAATATAAACATACACATTTTTAACAACAAATTACTAATGTTACTTTTATTAACAAAAATGCTAAAATGGCAGCACTGGAAACTGAACCAATGCAGCGTGGCTAGTGACTGTGTAACATTCCACATGATGTCCTGCGAATGTGCCGCAAAAGTAGTCGGGGGTGGGGAGGCCTCTGTACAGCTGAGTTCAGTTTTTGTGCTCATTCAACTGCTATCCTTTCTGCTAAAGCGAATGAAAATAGATACGGCTTTTTAGGATGGTGAGTACAGTGTGTAGTGGGGAGAAGGTGAACGGTAGAGAGGAAGAGAAACAAAGTGGCATGTACACAACACATTATGTGCTGAATATGTAGTAGTAGCATAAAGTAGATTAAGTTTGCAGAACTCCTGTTTGGTGATGGTAACAACCTTTTATGTATTTATTTATTTAACAGCAAAAGTAACTATGAATGACCTTATCATGAAGAATAACCCTCATACACTTTCCGGTGATCATAACAGTTCTAATAAACAGCATCTGAAGGAAAACAATACCCTCCTTGCTTTTCAGATCACAAATAACCATTCACGAAACAATAGAAAGTGCAGATGAAGTAGTCATACTAACTTGGTGTGTGTTTTGTATTAAAAGAGAACTACAGTACGAAAAATCTAAGATAAGCAGTGTTACGAAGCCCCAAAACATTAATTAGGGAGTCATTGGTTAGGAAAGGCAGGGAAATTATATAAAATAACATATCAGTTTTCCATATATTTTATAAGCAAAACCTGGTTCTAGCTGCAACATTTCTACCAAACATGTAGGACGTATTTAAAACTGATACTAGTTCAGGAAATATTGGTTTACCATTTTAAACTAAAGAATTAATTTCATGCTTCATAGGGTGTGCGATATTTATAGCCACAGCCCCACAATGGGAAGGTATAGATGTACTTAGAGCCAAGTTCCAGAACACACAGTTCCTCCTGGACTCCCTGAGAAGTGCAACAACTGTAGGAGCAACATGCACTGTCTTCTACCAGCCAGTGGAAAGGGTGTGCGCCATAGCTCACGTCCTCATCCCCCACCCCTCTGTACAGATATTAGTGATGCCAGCCAGATCTTCTGAGTTCTCCTGCTTGCTATGAGAACGTCTCCCATTCTGCCCTAGCTCATGTGCCGGGTCTCCTGGAGATGAGAGGCTCTTTGCATCTTTTCCCTTTTTTGTGCACCTGTGCTGAGACTGGATGACAATCTAGCCCCTCAACATCCTTTTACATCATGAATTTATAATAAACAAACTGTCACTCAATTTTGAGCTAATTTTGTACCGCTGGTTATGATGACTCCAGGGTTAACCAAAAATGTGAATTGAAAAGAAACAGCACGTGGAATAAAGTACCTGAGGAAAGATAAGCATTCTAAGTTTGGAAAATATCTGAGTGCTATCTTACTGAAGTATTTTCAAACTAGCTTATTTTTCAGGGTTATTTTAATGCATTTTACTCTAATTATATCCAATAGTGAAAAGCTCTGAAAGGCAGTGCCTATGAGGAGGAACAATGTACACCCCACCACAAGTTCTTATGGCTGTGATATGAAGTACATTTGCAAGGGGACTCTTGGACATTTGTAAGAACTGCATGCTCTTTCATTTCTCAAATTCCTTCAAACCTTCCCACGAATGTTAGCATATTTTCCTGCACATTTCCATTATAGTAGCAAGTTACAAAATGGTCATGGGATCTCACTGGAAATTACACAAGATTTTGGGATATTTTCAAAATTAAAATGAGTAAAACAAGTGCATAAAGTAAATGTTTAGAACATATTTTGACAAATATAGCACCAAATCCTGAGATCTTTACTAAGTTTTAACATACTTCTTATTCAGGCAAACTTCCACTGAGTTTGTATGATTTTTGTTTTTAAAAGATTATTGCAAAGCTATAAGAAATTACAGCATCTTGAATTCTTTTACTTGTTTAATTCATACTACTATTAGATGGTTAAAGACTATGATAAAAGATAAACAAATATATTCAAAAATAGAAAATATATTTGCTACAGAAAAATGTTTTAAATCAGCCTAAAAAATCATGGTTGATATACATACTAATACTGAAATTGCACGCTTTAATGCACTATACAGGGTATTTACTTTTAGATATTTCTCTTTATGAATAATATAGAGGATTTTATTGTAACTGTTCATTCATAAATCAGACATTTAAGTGGAATATTCTCCCTTCTTTCACAGTGTTGAAAGAAAGTCTCCACACCACATGTATGAGCTCAAGATGTTAGGCCTGATGGGGTTGTGGATTTTTCCAAATGACATGGTCTAGTTTTCTACAGCTCTGAACAACAATGGAATATTCATGTTACTAAAATTCCACTGTAGTTAAATCACTTATATTAAGAATTACAACACCAGCTATTAACTGCAAAAACTGGGGAGAATTTTGGATTATAAAATATTCCATTATGAAGACAACGAAGCAAGTTTCCCACATAAAACACTTCTGTGCAGATGGGGAGTGTTTTATCCCCATAGTGCATCTGTGCAGGAATTAGCAATAATTTGGCTGCTAGCGCTGCAGTTCTAGAGGGCAAAGGGTACTGTGTAGCAGGAGTATGTCCATGGCTGCCAAACAGTAGCGGTGGAAGAACAAAATACACCCGAAGAACAGGGATAGCTATTACTGATACTTTTCACACTTCCCCTTGTATCACAGAAACATTATGCCTTCCCCATCAAGTTAATGACATTCCTCCTCCCCACCACCAAACACAGCGCTCATTGATGGACCCAACAAGCGACCCATTTAACACGGATATAAAGTACTCTGACATATGCAAAATAAGGACAATAACAGAAAATACTAAAGCTACTTAATGACACGATGAAAGTACCTCCTGAATCCTAATATTCTGCAGAAGGAATGAAAATAGTGTATTAAAATATTTGTGCATACTTGTCATGAATGTGTAGAGAATGGATCACACAGTTAAAAGTATATTCAATGTGATAAGCACTGTCTTATGGGGAGAATGCTTGAATCCGATTCTGTTTAGTGCAAATACAACGTACCTGCTGGGATAAACGCTGCATGTTGTTGCAACTGTGCATTGGCAAGAGCCTGTTGATAGTGCAAGACACTGGGACTAAAAACGGCACTGGCACCATTGCTTTTCTCCAGCGCTTGTCTCTTTGGTAAAGGGTGAAGCACGCCAGGAGGAAAGGCCTGTGGCAAAAGAGAATTTAATTAAACTGGCAGGTTTTTCAAAAGATATACGTATTTTCTCATATAGATGAATAAAATATTGTAATGTACTTCTTAAAAAAGCTGTTAAAGATGCCTTGCCATGCACCTTAACTCAAATAATAGCAATGTACAATGAGTGAAATTTTGTTGTTGATCGCAAAAGCATGGTACTATTAACATAAACCTGTAGCACCACAACTACTGAAAAGGAAGGCCTTTAAAGCAACAAAAGTGGCATTTCCTTTAAATTTGGGCTTAAAATATTCTAGGAGGAAAAAACCACTTGTGTTTCATTGCCAAGTATTCTTTCTTAGTTAAATATTTTTCCTATTATTAAATACAGTGAGGGATTATAGCATTTTCAATTACAAAAGCAGTTATATTTAATTTTAACTTCTACGAAAAGGTATTTGAAAATGAAATCATGTTAGGAAAAAAACTAAATTGTTTGCATTTATTGCATATGAGAATGAGATGGATAAATATAATACTGAATTTTTTCTAAATTAATAATATATGATAGTTTTCAGTTGATGTTAAAAAAAAAGCAATACAAATTTCATTAGTTGCTTCTCTGAAAAGCTACATGCAAAGCAAAAGGTGAAAGGTCAAAGTACCAGGTCTACAGTTGCTTCGAGAGGCCGCTTCATTGCTTTGGCAGTCGACTGAGTCTTTTAATAACAGGCAGCGAGCACATGATGGCAGTGGGCCAATGGGATTCAAGCGAATTAACATACAGGTAAACAGCAAGCAGAGGTGCATCATGGGAACGGCATTGCATTGTGGATAGGTGAGAAGGAAAAAAATATTCTGAATGCAGTATACAACATACAAAACACTAGGCATGCACAACAACAAAAATGTTTTCTAAAGAAATGAATATTACACCTTGAATTAGTACTGAAGCAATAATGCATCTACTATACCTTAGTTAAAAGCATATAAGAGAGTAAAATATAGATGTTTGAAATTTAGGAAAGTTAATTAAAACAGCAGCTTGCAGACACCATTAAGCATACTATAATACTTCACAGAAACACATTGGTTTTTAGGATTTTCTTACAAGAATTTCTGGTAAGTTAGTTATGTCAAGTTAAAAAGCATAAAATAAATTTTCAACACTAACATTTAAAATATAAAGCACTAATGAGAGTTTTAATGCTTTAATAGAATTACTCACATGTATGTTTGCTGGATCAGGGCCTTAGTTAATAAAATGTACATTTCAATAGACTTTGAAGTCAAAATATAAACAGTTTTCCTATTTCCAATATATAACAAATTCATGTTATGTCTAATCACTAATTTATCAGTTTAATATTTTTTACTATAGCTGGGACAGTAACTTGGATTATCCTTTTTAATTTACCACATTACACTGAGAAAAAGCCCAACATTTTAAAACAAATATTTTCTCAGCTGTCATTCAGGAAAATCTTTACTAACTTTAGGAATCGGTGATAGAAAACAATACTATTTGTCAAGAGCATGTAATGTATAATTAGAACAGGAATTATGGTGCTAATATAGCATCATTTAAAAATATTTAAATGTAAAACAATTCTTAACATGAGCATAAATTTTATTACCTATATTTGCATTAAGAGATAAAAGATGAGGGCTAATTTGACTACATTCCAGCAGAAAAATTTAGTTGATGTTTTTCATCTATAACTCTTTTTAAATGGGAATTTTAAAAGAGTTTAATGAAAACATATGGAAAGGAGGGTTTCCTCATGAATCAGAAATCTGGTGTTTACACTCACAATAGGTAGCTCCTCAAAGTCCATAGGAGAAATGAATATTCAGACTGTTTCTATCCTTAGCTTCAGATATAGAAAAGTAGAACAATAATTAAAAAGGGAGGACAAGGTACTGAGAGCACCATGTCTAAGACAACTTAGGGTCACAGAACTTAGGCCAATGACAACATGAACATTTTGCAGGATAGCCCTTGCTTCACTAATCCTTAAAACATCTTTCAAAATCCATGTTTCTGTCTCTCCAATTATCACCTTGTATTTTTCCTTATATCTTTGCATCCAAAGTCCTTAAGCATGTCCTCTATTCCTGATGTCTTGACAACTTCTCCTCTAGCTTCTTCCTAGATTCTAAACCCTCCACTCTATGAGATCTGCTCTATCAAGGTCATTAATGATCAGGAAAGGAGGGTCCAGGGGTCAGAGCACTAGCCTGGGCTGTGGGAGACCCAGATTCAATTTCTGATCTACCACAAACTTCCTTTGTGACCTTGGGCACTTAGGACTCATCCACATGCTGCGGCAGTCCTCACCAGTGGGATGTAAGGTCTAGTCTGCACTAGCATGTCATGCACTAACTGGCCTGTGTGGAGCCTGCTGGTGGGCACTAAATGTTCCCTAGTGCGGTTAATGTAGTACCATTTGAAACAGGACTGTGTTAACACACACCAAAAAACTTTTAGCACGCACAAATAGTGTCCACCCTGACCGGTTAGTGCACAACACACTGGTGCAGACTAGAATTTACACCGCACTGGTGAGGACTAACACACGATGCAAATGAACCCTTAATCTTCTGTGCCTCACTTCCCCAACTGTAAAATAGAGATAATAGCACTTCCTTACTCACAGCACGGTTGTGAGGATAAATATGTTGACAAGTTTGTGAGACACTCAGATACTATAGTAATGGGGACCGTATACGTACAATAGTAAGATAGATAGGCCAGATCTAAGGGTTTTCTGTTTATTTTCCTCCACCTTGACCTGCTATCTTTGAAAAAGCTGATCACTCCCTCCTCTCTCCCTTCTGTAAAATATCTAACAATGCCCATCCATCTTTGCACAGTATTCTGAGATCACTAGGGACAAAAAACTATATGAGTTTGAAATATTATGGCTGGATTCAATTATGGAAGGTGATGAACGGTGTCAACTCTCTAACTAAACTAACTAAATGGGCGTTGAAGGTGCTTAACCCATTACTATTATCATCCAAAACACAGATCTCATCCACTCTCACAACTTCCCCTATTATCTCTATATTTGTGACTCCAGAATCTGCACTCCTTATCCTCTTCCCTCAGTTTAGACTTAGATCCACACAGTAAGCCAAAAGGGACCATTGTGATAATCTAGTCTGGGGTCCTGTATACACAGGGCATAGGACTTCTCTGAATTAATTCCTTTTGAACTAGAGAATACATTTTAGGAAAATATCTAATTTTGATTTAAAAATTGCCATTGATGGAGAATTTGCCCCAACTCTTGGTAAATTGTTCCAATGGTTAATTACCCTCACTGTTAAAAATTATCACTTTATTTCTAGTTTGAATTTGTCTAGCATCAACTTCCACTTGTTATATCTTAGGGTATGTCCACACTAAAAATTAGGTCGATTTTGTAGAAGTCGATTTTTAGAAATCGATTTTATACAGTCGATTGTGTATATCCCCACTAAGCGCATTAAGTCGGCGGAGTGCTTCCTTAATACCGTGGCTAGCATTGACTTACGGAGTGGTGCACTGTGGGTAGCTATCCCACAGTTCCTGCAGTCTCCACTGCCCATTGGAATTCTGGGTTAAGCTCCCATACCACAGCAAGCATGGAGCCCGCTCAGCTCACCGCTGCTGTTGTGAGTATTGTAAACACCTCGCGCATTATCCTGGAGTATATGTAGAACCGGTTGAAAAGACGCCAGCACGAGGACGATTGTGATAAGAACATGGACATAGACATTCCTGAAAGCTCAGGCTGTGGCAATTGGGACATCATGGTAGAAGTGGGGCTGGTTGATACAGTGGAACGCCGATTCTGGTCCTGGCAAACAAGCACAGACTGGTGGGACCGCATAGTGTTGCAGGTATGGGATGAGTCACAGTAGCTGCAAAACTTTCACATGCGTAAGGCCACTTCCCTGGAACCTTGTGAGTTGCTTTCCCCTGCCCTGAAGCACAGGAATACCAAGATGAGAGTTGCCCTGACAGTTGAGAAGCGAGTGGTGATAGCCCTGTGGAAACTTGCAACACCTGACTGCTACCGGTCAGTCGGAAATCAATTTGGAGTGAGCTAGTCTACTGTGGGGACTGCTGTGATCCAAGTAGCCAATGCAATCACTGACATTCTGTTATCAAGGGTAGTGACTCTGCGAAATGTGCAGGTCATAGCGGATGGCTTTGCTGCAATGCGGTTCCCTAACTGTGGTGGGGCGATAGATGGAACACATATCCCTATCTTGGCACCTGATCACCTTGCCAACCAGTACATAAACTGCAAGGGGTACTTCTCAATGGTGCTGCAAGCACTGGTGGATCACAAGGGACGTTTTCACTGACATCAACGTGGGATGGCCAGGAAAGGTGCATGACGATCGCATCTTTAGGAACTCCAGGCTGTTCGAGCAGTTGCAAGAAGGGACTTACTTCTCAGACCAGAAAATTACCATTGGGGATGTTGAAATGCCAATAGTTATCCTTGGGGACTCCGCCTAGCCCTTGATCCCATGGCTCATGAAGCCGTACACAGGCAACCTGGACAGTAGTAAGGAGCAGTTCAACTATAGGCTGAGCAAGTGCGCAATGGTGGTAGAATGTGCCTTTGGACGTTTGAAAGCCTGCAGGCACTGTTTGATGACTAGGTTAGACCTCAGCGCAACCAACATTCCCCTTGTTATTGCTGCTTGCTGTGTGCTCCATAATATCTGTGAGAGTAAGGGGGAGACATTTATAGCAGGGTGGGAGGTTGAGGCAAATCGCCTGTCGGCTGATTTTGAGCAGCCAGACACCAGGGTGATTAGAAGAGCACAGCGAGGCGCGATGCACATCAGAGAGGCTTTGAAAATCAGTTTCATAACTGGCCAGGCTACAGTGTGACAGTTGTGTGTGTTTCTCCAAGATTTCGTGTGTGAAAATACCTGTTCACACAGGTATGTGGATCCAAATGCTGGAAGCATTGCAAACACAATTTTCTTCAAACAGTTAAATTTCACTGGCAGGGACATCCAGTACAGGCTACAGTGTGACAGTTGTGTGTGTTTCTCCTTGATGCAAACCCACCCCCTTTGTTGATTTTAATCCCTGTAAGACAACCACCCTCCCCCCTTCAATCACAGCTGGCAAAGGAAATAAAGTAACTGTTGTTTTGAAACCATGCATTCTTTCTTTATTAATTAAAAAAAAAAGTGAGATAACTGACAAGGTAGCCCGGGTGGGGGAAGGAGGGAGGGGCAGGGGAAGGAGGGAAGGACAAGGCCATATTGCTTATTGTAGCCACACTACAAATCAAAACTGTTTGAATGACAGCTTTCTGTTGCTTGGGCCAACCTCTGGAGTGGAGTGGCTGGGTGCCTGGAGCCTCCCCACTGTGCGTTTTTGGACGTCTGGGTGAGGAGGATATGGAACTTGGGGAGGAGGGCAGGCAGTTATACAATGGATGCAGCAGGGGTCTGTGCTCTTGTTGGCTTTCCCGCAGCTCCAACAGACGCTTCATCATGTCCGTTTGCTCCCCCATTAGCCTCAGCATCGCCTCCTGCCTCTGATCTTTGTGCTCACTTAATGCTTTCCTGGCCTCTGCCAATGAATGCCTCCATGCATTAAGCTTGCCCTATCAGTGTGGGAGGACTGCATGAGCTCGGAAATCTTGTCATTGCGAGTGTGTTTTTTTCTCCTTCTAATCTGCGATAACCTCAGGGA